GATTGGTTACCTGATAGTTGTGAGGGATTTAATGATAAAGTCACTGTGATTGTTGACCTGATAGTGGTGAGGGTTTAATGATATGTCACAGTGATTGGTGACCTGATAGTGGTGAGGGATTTAATGATAATTTTACAGTGATTGGTGACCTGATAGTTGTGAGGGATTTAATGATAAAGTCACAGTGACTGGTGACCTGATAGAGGCGAGGGATTTAATGATAATGTCACAGTGATTGGTGACCTGATAGTGGTGAGGGATTTAATGATAAAGTCACTGTGATTGGTGACCTGATAGTGGTGATGGTTTAATGATAATGTCACAGTGATTGGTGACCTGATAGTGGTGAGGGATTTAATGATAAAGTCACTGTGATTGGTGACCTGATAGAGGTGAGGGATTTAACGATAAAGTCACTGTGAATGGTGAGCTGATAGAGGTGAGGGATTTAATGATAAAGTCACAGTGATTGGTGACCTGATAGAGGTGAGGGATTTAATGATAATGTCACAGTGATTGGTGACCTGATAGTGGTGAGGGATTTAATGATAAAGTCACTGTGATTGGTGACCTGATAGAGGTGAGGGATTTAATGATAAAGTCACAGTGATTGGTGACCTGATAGAGGTGAGGGATTTAATGATAATGTCACAGTGATTGGTGACCTGATAGTGGTGAGGGATTTAATGATAAAGTCACAGTGATTGGTGACCTGATAGAGGTGAGGGATTTAATGATAAAGTCACAGTGATTGGTGACCTGATAGAGGTGAGGGATTTAATGATAAAGTCACAGTGATTGGTGACCTGATAGAGGTGAGGGATTTAATGATAATGTCACAGTGATTGGTGACCTGATAGTGGTGAGGGATTTAATGATAAAGTCACTGTGATTGGTGAAGGTGTCTCCACACTTCTGGCTATCATTATATCTGATTAATTGCATTTAAGTGATTGTCTTCATTAGTTTAATGTGAACGCACTGGGGTTGTACCAGGGTTCAGCATCATATACAATTAGCATAGTTGGAAGAATATTTATTTCATCAAAGGTGCGTTTCATCATAGTTATGACTGGATCCCTACATAAATATGAGTGATTGTCTGTATGTCACAGAAAGCCTGATGAATCCTGATATAATTGAGAGAAGAATAATTCTACATGAACATTTCAGATTGACTCATATTTGCCAACTCTCTCTATTTGAAAGGGTTATTTTGTCTCCAGGGGTCTGTATACACACATTTTATTTAGGTTCTAGATTTGAGAGTTGCAGAATCTCACCCATGGAAATCTCAAAAGTACATCAGATTGTCGATAATGAAAATTTAAACTGTTGATACATAGAGGAAAATATGAGTTTTGCATTTGGTTAGTTAAAACTTTATTGAAACTGAAACTAAATAGTCCTGAAGAATATTTGTAACAGTATGTATATATATAAAAGATTATACTGAGATTTAATATGCCGTACATAGTTCATAGTTTATCAAAGTATTTAATGATTTAAAAAAACAGTATTAGGAACAGTAAATATTAAAGTTTTAACCAAATCTCCTTATAAATCTTTAAACCACTAAATAAGCATTGTAATAATTGAACGGCATACAATTCAGAGCTATTGTAGTTTTAGAAATGATATTGGTAAGTTTTAAATACAATTTTTTAAGAGGGATAAAAGAAATATTTGTACTCTGATTTGTTGATTTGTTCAGACCTGTTATGTATAATTGACGTATTATTTCTGTAAAAATGTCAATGCAATGGTCCTAACTTTGATTCGGGGATATTTTACATGATTAAGGCATTTTTGTATGATTAAGGGGATTGCTGTATAGCTCGGAGGGTTTCTGTGCAATTATAGGGATTTCCTGGTGATTCATGCATGGGGTTAATGTAAGATTCAGATTATTTTTTTATATTTGGAGTTGGGCCCCTGTACAATTCAGTGCAATTTTGCATAATTCAGAAGGTCTCTACCGTTCATCAAATCATGACAGATTAAGAGTGTTTTCTTTACAATGCTGGGGGTTTGTGAATGATTCTGATGATTTCGAAAGATCCAGGAGATTTCTGCATGATTCTTGGGGCTTTACAATCTTATGTGTTTCTGTATAATTAATGGAAAATAAAAAGTTCTGGATTAGAGGAATTGAGTGTAATTTCTTGTTTACCTCATTACAGTATATGCAGCCAGGAGTCTGAAAGCTTCACAAAAGCTACAACTTAATATAAACCTGGTGGATCTATATATTGTATGATACATTCTTATTGGTTCACATAACTTCCAACAGGGCCCACAGGTATCATACGCAGACTGATTTTACCACTATAGTTACTTTAGCCTAAAAAGCTGAATATCAATAATCTCTTCATTTCTATTGGAAAGACAAGGACAAGTTGAAGGTCACCATCTCATCTATTGGTTATTAGCCGTGGTATTTATGGACAAACCATTTTTTTTTGTACCAGCTTTCTTTTACAACGATTTATGGTGGTATTTAGGCCAGTATGGGATTCTCCCACAAGTAAATATATTTGTTCGGAAATGCTGATGTTGTTTATGTTTTTCTCTGTAGTGTAAAAATCTTTGGGAAATTGGTATCTTGAATAATTAGACCAAATATAGAGGTGGGGTATTTCCACAGTTTGTGTATGTTACAACAAATTAGGTTTTCCAATACATGTCTATGTTTTATATGACCTAATCGTACTGTAGTGCAGTTGTGAGTGATAAGCAGGCTTTCTGAAATACGTTATATTTTTAGAAAGAAGAAATAATTTATCATTTGGATTTTTTTGAGTCGCAAGTAAAGTGGCTTTAGTTCAAAATCCAGAAAGGGACTTGTTAGGTTATAGACCTACGCAGTTAATTAATACCTCTGAGAGTAGTACAGTATACGGCATTCTGAAAAGGTACTGCTACGCCCGATTGGGGTACCTGTTCTACACATTTTACGGCATTCTAGGGGAAAAGCCAAAACCCCCAGTTTCTATATTTAATAAATTATTCTGATTAAGATAGTTTGAAATGTCAATTACAAATACATATTATTCCATTCCAAAATACTTAAGGCACACAGAAACAAGTTTTCTGGTTTACTATAATTAATATTTTGATTTGATTTGGCTGAAATGAATGTTATAATAAACAAATCATAAACAGTCAAGGACAACATAAAATGTTACTGATTTAATTTGATGCAAAAGTTAACACAATTCAATTGAGTGTGGTTAGGAGGATTTGTCAATGAAGTTTGAATGAAAACCCCCCAGGAAAAATGTAAAATGATATGTGGTGTAGATTTCAGTAAACTTGCATATGTATATAAGATTGCCATGTCTCCTCAATTGAGTTTATGCATGGATCAGCCATGGTTTTCTTACAGCTCTTGCTGAGATATCGCTGCATGTTATTGATGTGAGTTGTGACAAATGTTTGATTTGTACAGTGATTCACTCCAAACATCTATACACCTCGGTATAAATGTCTTATCAAACATCTATACACCTCGGTATAAATGTCTTATCAAACATCTATACACCTCGGTATAAATGTCTTATCAAACATCTATACACCTCGGTATAAATGTCTTATCAAACATCTATACACCTCGGTATAAATGTCTTATCAAACATCTATACACCTCGGTATAAATGTCTTATCAAACATCTATACACCTCGGTATAAATGTCTTATCAAACATCTATACACCTCGGTATAAATGTCTTATCAAACATCTATACACCTCGGTATAAATGTCTTATCAAACATCTATACACCTCGGTATAAATGTCTTATCAAACATCTATACACCTCGGTATAAATGTCTTATCAAACATCTATACACCTCGGTATAAATGTCTTATCAAACATCTATACACCTCGGTATAAATGTCTTATCAAACATCTATACACCTCGGTATAAATGTCTTATCAAACATCTATACACCTCGGTATAAATGTCTTATCAAACATCTATACACCTCGGTATAAATGTCTTATCAAACATCTATACACCTCGGTATAAATGTCTTATCAAACATCTATACACCTCGGTATAAATGTCTTATCAAACATCTATACACCTCGGTATAAATGTCTTATCAAACATCTATACACCTCGGTATAAATGTCTTATCAAACATCTATACACCTCGGTATAAATGTCTTATCAAACATCTATACACCTCGGTATAAATGTCTTATCAAACATCTATACACCTCGGTATAAATGTCTTATCAAACACTCAGGTCTCAATGACTTTCTGTCTCCTTGATAAGAACTTTTAAAGTAGCATCTTCATCATTACTGTGTTTGATTTAATCCTGATTGTAATACATGTACATGCTCCTGATGTTTTTTAGGAGCTTGAAAAATCTGAGTCTTGCTAAAGTTTGATTAAGCTTTATCATTGTTGGTAAATCTGAGTCTGGCTAAAGTTTGAGTAAGCTTTATCACTTTTGGTAAATCTGAGTCTGGCTAAAGTTTGAGTAAGCTTAATCACTGTTGGTAAATCTGAGTCTGGCTAAAGTTTGATTAAGCTTTATCACTGTTGGTAAATCTGAGTTGCTGGCTAAAGTTTGAGTAAGCTTTATCACTGTTGGTAAATCAGAGTCTGGCTAAAGTTTGAGTAAGCTTTATCACTGTTGGTTTAACAAGATTTAAATGGCGCACCATGATTCAAGCTGTTGTTTTGTGATCGTCTCATTTATAAAACTACATGTTGTGTTTAGACCTTTAATTTCTAAAATTGAGATTGAAGATTTGAAAATAGCATCAGTTGCAAACCACTTTATATCGGAGATTTCTGAAAAATGAGATTGAAGATTTCGGATTGGCATCTTGTCTACAATTTGTTATTTAGAATGATCACAGTTAGGCACATGAGCCCTTGCTAACACCTGTCAGTGTTCCAGGTTTTTAGTCAGGAACTAATTTTTTAGCGTATTGAAAGGTATAATATAACTAAAACATATAATAATCTCATATTTTTCAGAAAGACGTTTGTGCCTTTTTAACACAGTTTGAAAGGTAAGTGTCTGATTTATACTGATTATAACCCAGGTGCTGTACATGCACTGCTCTAGAACTGAGGGCAGTAATATACAGAGCCCATCGTACAGCTTCCTTAAGTCATAACAATGTCAGCTTCAGTATCTTACCATAAACTGTGTATGTGTGAAAATCGGCAGACTTCCTTTATCTTCATTACACGTCCAAATAAAGTATAAACACTATTTGCTGTTAATGAGATAGTTTGGGGTCACTTGAACGATTAATTACTGGACATTGTGTAAATTTACTGTACAAGTGTCTGTAAGTTATTATACATCAGAAAATGTCGCTCAGTGATTGTACATTAATGACAGATCAAAGTCAGTACACCAATATACAAACCTGTTTACTTGGATAACTCACACTAGTAATATGTTTTTAAAAAAGAGAATTAATGCCGGCCTTAAAAATACCAAAGGGATGTAATTTTACATTTCTGTGTACAAAAAAAATCTGCAAAATCCTAGGGTTTGTTGTTTAGGATGCTGGCGTTGGTTAATAAGAATAAACGATGTTGTTAAAGAATAATTTCAAATATTTACAATTGCCACTGTTTCGGATTGATAACTTAAGTGTGCATGAGCAAGTCTGCTTAGAACGTGTCCCAGTTCACCGCGTATGAATATATGAAAATATTGGCAGTCTTCTTTCCGCAAACCTCATGTAAATGTTTACAAACAAACGCTAGCATTTAGACTACCGTGCCTTTGAGACACCAAATGATGTCGCGTTCGAGACAAGACAGATCATGTTCATGACCGATCATAAAAATGAAGCTAGTGTCAGAAGCTACAGCCGCGATTGTTTGTCGATACAAAAATGCTCCACTAGATCCACTCTCTCATCTATGAGTGTCGGCCGCCATGACACAGAAACGATGGCTATCGTTCCTAGAAATGTAGGTTAAATTTATTGTCTCCCAAATGTTACATCAACAGTCACTCGGCCAACAAACGATTTATCCACATAATACAGTGTACAAATATGTCATCTGTTAAAACCTCCGGTTTGCTTACAAACAGCAATTTTTAATAACCGCACATTCAACTTCCACCAGGCCTATAGGCTAGTAACTATCACTCGACGACATTGTAGCACTCGCTATTTCCCGCCTTTGGGCGCATCACTTTTAAAAGACGTCCGCGGTCATTAATATTTTCTACTACGTAAAGTATTTTGCTACAGTACCTCAATTTCATACAAATATAAAATTATTTATTCCATTACCTACTGATACAATTATGAAGATATTGTATGAAGTTAAATATGGATATTTTATGTGAATAAAAACATTGAAATGGAGGAACTTTTTCCATTTGTTGTCACGGATAAAGTGGGTGGGGTTTAGCTGTCTGTCAACAACTTTTGCGAATGGCTGTTTCGAACGGATTAACATGACGTCCAAATAATTTTGAACGCGGATTACACAAGGTAAATGCTTGTATCCGACTCTTTTAATGGTGTTATTGTTAAAAGAAAATATTGTAAATATACATACCTGTCAATTAACCTCTCCGCGTACAAATCAGGGTGATGAACCTCTTTGGGGTTTTCAAATCAGGGTCATAACGCGTAGCGTCATTTTTGCCCTCTTTTGATATTCTATACCCATTATGTATATGAAAACCAATAGGAATTAAACCTTTGTAATAACTGGTCACTGGCCTGTAATCAAGTAAATTTATTTTCCCATGCACGTTGATATGTACATAAATATCTCTTCCTCTTTGTATTTGGACTTTCACAAGAAGCTGGGCCAGATAAGGCCCTCTTTCTTGCACTTGACATGATGTACAACTGATTTGTGGAAAGGGGTATCAAATAAAAACTCAACAAAGTAATCTGTTGAACTGTGTTTATTGTTAACAAGAGTTAAGAATGCATGACGCCATGTGTCTATAATAAACTGCAATTATCGCACTGCAACACGTTTTCATAATATAAAATAGATCTAACATTAAGTATATATAGTACCTACCTGCATTGTTACAAGTCCAATCAATAATCCGTCTTAGTCATGCGTCAAGGCACATTGTTTATCAGCTCTACTCAGACATCGACACTTATAATTACTTGTTCACACCTTTCAAAGCTAATTTGACAGCCTACAGTCGACTGTCCAAACGCAAAAGTGTTAACAAACTATACATTCGGATGTCTCATTTTAATACAACGATGAAGTCAGAGGATCGCACATGAATGACTGAAAACGAGGCTAGGTTTGAGAATCTAGGTCTTTTCGGGTCATAGATTAAAAAAACGGGTAAAATGATGTTCGTAAACGCTTCGTGTGCGTTTACGCAATTTGCCTTGTGCTCCATTGGATTTAATATCTCATAAACAAAACAAAATAAAAGGGTAATCCTTAATTAAAAAAACAATCCATTGCCTCCCTGTTAAGCTACCAAGACTTTGGCCTTGTTAGCTTGACATTGAATTATACCTATTTCTTCACCTACTAGTTACATCTTGTTTTAAGCAACAAATGGTATCCTATAAAGACTTATGATATTTACCCTTTCACACCTACAAAGCTTTAGTAGACTCTACCATGCGTTGATCTGGACTAGTCCATTGGTCTACAGTGGTGAAATGGTTAAACATTGATAATGACAAAAATCTGTTAAACATAATAAATAAGAACTAAAGCGAATATTAAGTAGCTGTAATTATTTAAATTTAAAAAATGTATGGTATAAAAACAGAATGTTAACTTCAGATTTTCTCATTATAAATGACTTATTTTTCAATTTTAGACAAATACAATTTACAGAACTGAATTGATAGAAATATTTTATGATTCATAATTAATGTGACTCTGTCTCCTGAAATAGAAACCAGGTTAGCATCTCCTGTAGGAACCAATACAAACTTTTTGTTTTTATTCAGGAAAATTGAGATGTACTCTGAGCAGAAATTGACAACAATATCCTTCATTATAATACAGTCAATATTAAAATAGGTTTCTGATTTTAATCAGAATTTTATTATCTGTGCGATTATCAAAATTGATCTGCAGTACATGTTTAATTGTGGTATAATTAGTTGTTGATTAATCTAATTGAAGAAATATTTGAAAAGTACACAAGAGTTGATGAGTCATATGAAAGGTACACAAGAATGGATGATACATTTGAAAGGTACACAAGAATTGATGATACATTTGAAAGGTACACAAGAATGGATGGTACACAAGAATGGATGATACATTTGAAAGGTATACACAAGAATGGATGATACATTTGAAAGGTACACAAGAATGGATGGTACATCTGAAAGGTACACAAGAATGGATGATACATCTGAAAGGTACACAAGAATGGATGGTACACAGAAATGGATGGTACACAAGAATGGATGATACATCTGAAAGGTACACAAGAATGGATGGTACACAAGAATGGATGGTACACAAGAATGGATGGTACATCTGAAAGGTACACAAGAATGGATGATACATTTGAAAGGTACACAAGAATTGAAGACACATTTGAACAGAAGTGCACAAGGTTTTTTGCTTTGATAATGTTCAAGTAATTGTTAGATTGAATAGATATTGGTAATTTAAAGTTTTACAAGGGAGTGAACTCCTACTCAAATTATAGGTTTCATATACAAAGTAGCATATACCCTGAACCTCCCAGAAATATTGCAGATGTCCTGTAGTTCTCAAATGATTAAAGCTTCACAAAGTAATATAGCTCCAAGTGTTGGCTGTTTCTGATTGATCATACTTCAAGTCAAAACTTGGGAGTCAAAATTTCAAGTCAAGGAGTCTTGAAAGTTTGCAGATAGTTAAAATGGTTAGATGTAGATAAATAATGTGATCTATACATATGTACATCATATAAGTAATCCTACAGACTGGGTCTCTCTATTTACAACACTCAAAACGTGAAGTACACTCCAATGAAATATAGCACCATTCGGGACAGACTCATAAAATTAATAAAGAAATTACCTTTGTCATTCAATTGAGTATGGCTTTGAGTTGGATATACCTGTACATTGAAAGATATTTATCAGACACTCCCTCTTCACCTAAACTCTAGTCTCCATGTTTACCCTAAACTTGAGGACAATGTCAGACATAGAGGAATGGGTCTACATGACAAATAATACTAATAAAAGATTTTTAAATATATTAAATTCTATTGACGATGATATGTCACTAGTCCTAGCACAATAAAATGGTTAAAATGTGTTGTCAACTGTTTGCTATGGGTTGAACTAAAATAGGCAAAATACACATATATTTCTATTTATACAGGAGTACAATTAATTTAAATTCCCGTTACACATGTACACAATATATGACCCCCAGTATTTAGCCGATTCAATACTTAGTTATTGGCGGAGCTTTGATGCCCACGGAGAAGTCGGTGTAACAAAAACATTAACACGGATGTTTTATTCCCATTCTTATTGCAGAAGTAGGGTATTATTTTTTGTGTTAAGATCTATAAAAAAGCTGAATCAATTTACATCTATTATCAGCTGTTTAAATACGTTTGACAGATTTCATGGGAGAACTTTTCTGATCATATACTTTTCAAATTAAAGCCTTGTATTGTTAATTGTTTTGGTCAATAATGAGGTTTGCTAAAGCTTTTGGAGCTGTTATGTTGAGACTTTCCTTCTCAACTTGAACACATACCTCCTTTGTCTGACACATAAAGTACACATTTGTCAATAGACACGGTAATATTAGATGTTATGGGGGTACAAATGTCCTGTATGAGAAAAATGCAAATTAAGTCTGGTATTCTGTTTACAAAAGATTTTATGTGACCAATGAGATATAGTGATAATGCTAAATTTTTATATAAAAAATCTAATTGAATTTGAATATAGTGAACAAACAAAACCGTGGACTTTATATCCAGGCTCATATCCCAGACAATGCGTGTTGTGTCTGTAGTCCATTGTGGAGATTTGGTGTAGACAATACTCAGTGTAGAACTTTCCAGTACGTT